TTAGCATAATTCTATTACCAATATTTGGTGATCTTTAATACAGTCCAGCATATAGTTAATAATCGACCCCAAGCAAGGTCGTAGAGCAGGGTTACGTGCAGTTGCAGTAATTAGTCCTGAGAATACTACTCCAATTCCAACTCCCGCTCCGGCTAGTCCAATAGTAGCTAGTCCTGATCCAATGTATTTTGCAGCTTGTAGCATGGTTAATGTGAATTTAATAGCCTCGTCACACCGTACAGCGCCCATAATAATTAAATTAACAGAGGGTTAGGTGTATGGCAGACGGAGCTCTAAGTTGCAGCAGTGGTCTAGAAAAATTGAGTAACTAAACATGCCGTTCTTTTCACATTAATATTGACTATAAGAGAATAACTTTCATTATAATAAAAAAGGTATTGGCCTTCCTTAAAAAATAAAGGCTGCTTTCCGAAACAGGGCTCTGTTTATTCAATAAACCGTCACTCACTTATATTTAATATAAAAGCTTTGATTAAAAGTAACTGTATCAATTTACATAGGTTGGCTTAGTTCAACGGTAGAACACTAGTTTGTGGATCTAATGATCCCAGTTCGATTCTGGGAGTTGACCCTTATACAGTAATAGAGGGATTATGGGACTGATGGCTTCAAGTTATGGCCACAGGAAAGTCCTAGATGATTATAGCATATCCTATAAATAAGGAATAGCTAAAGCTATGGTTACTTACAGAAAAATTGGGGGGGGGGAGGAGCACGAGGGCGAGAGGCGGGAACGAGGGGACGCACAGTACTCGGCGAGCTTGGCGGCGTTGACACGGGGCGTGGGACGGTCCATGGTGCGGTGCGCGGCGTCGAGTGCGGTCGGGAGGAACGAGGCAGAGCCGAGGCGAGATGAGGACGACGGCGGCGAGGCTCGCGGCCGCTCTCCCTCCCTCTGGTGCTGTGCCGTTGGGGTGGAGAGCTCGACAGAGTCCTTGCGCCATCTCTGCACCGCGTCCGCTGCTCACTGTCGCGAGCGGAACTCTCCTTCGCCTCCTCACGCTTGTTTCATCTTCTCGCTCGACGACGGACAGCTCTCGCACCGCGCTCTCTCTCGCCCTCTCGATAGACAACGCCATCGATGAGAACAGAGTGCTCGAGAGAAGGCTCTCGAAAGACGAGAGAGACGTGAAGGGAGGTGCACGGTGCGAGTTAAGAATGGCAGCGAGTCGTGCGCGGACAGGGATCTAGTGGGTCGAGAGGCGGGGGTATCGTTACTGTGGGTGACGGTGGACGACGTGACGACGACGCAGGAATACAGACAACAGAGGGAGGCGACGAATGAGGGGGAGGAAAGAGGTCTATCTCATGGCGGGTCCTCGGCGCTTGGCCTGCCTGCGGCTCGAGCGGAAGATGAGCCACACGCCGAGCCACACGGCTGCCGCGACGACGAGCGACCCGACGGCGACGATGATGAACAGGTTGTGCGGCGCCTTGCGCCCGTCGGCGTAGTTGTGGTCGTAGTCCGGGTTGCCGTTGTGCGGCACCGTCACGTTCATGCCGAACATGGACGTCCAGATGTTGATCGGCAGGAACGTGAGCGTGACGATGTACAGCTTGACGAGCGCCATGTCGGTGCCGCGCTTGGCGCCGACGAGCGAGAACCGCAGGAGCGACAGGTACGCCGGGTGGTCGTGCGCGAGGATGGCGTCGTAGAAGACGAGCGATTGCTGCATGGCGACGATGTGGTCTGCAAAGGAAGGCGAGAGGTCAGTGGCTCGCTCTGGGGGAAGAGGAGGAGGACGACGAGGAGGCGCACCTTGCAGGTCGCCGATGTAGACGGCGATGTCGTGCTTGGCATCGCTCTTGAACAGGCCGAGGTTCTCCTCCATCGTACGCTTGCGCAGACCGCGCACGACGTCCATCTTGGGCCCGAGGAGCCGGCTCAGGCCCGTCACGAGCTTGCGCATGTCGGTGATGCGCTTGAGCATGACGGACCGGTCGAACCGCGTCTGGCTGAACAGGTTCTCGTCGGGCTTGAGCTCGCTCGGGATCAGGCCGCCGTCGACCGGCTTGTCGCGCGAGAGCGTGCGCAGCTCGACGCCCTCGTGGTCGACCAGCATCGACGTCTTGAACATACGTGTCGTCTCGCGCACGAGGCTGCTCGGGAGCATGCGCAGGAGCCCGCCGGGCAGCTGCATTCGGGGCAGGAGCCGCAGGACCGTCGTCGGCGCGAGGCGCTCGACCGTCGCGTGCTTGATCGACGCCGACGAGACGTCGCTCGACAGGTACTTGCGGTCGTCCTCGGTCGGCTCCTCGACGATGATGCCCATGACCGACTCGTCGAACACCTTGCGGCCGGCGAGGACGGCGACGCCGGACGGGGCGGCCTTGGGCCCGACCGAACGCTCCTTGCCGTTGCTGAGCGGGTCCGACAGGAAGGCGTCGACCTCGTTCGACTCGCCCTCGATGTAGTCCATGATCGGGAAGAACGAGTCGACGATCGAGTCCATGAGGCTGTAGGCGATCCAGTCTGTGTGCGCGGCGACAGGCGTCAGTTCGTGGAGAGGCGAAGAGAGAGAGAGAGAAGGGCGAGGACGCACGCGACGAGAAGTTGCGCGAGATGCCGAACTGCTGGAGCTTGCCCTGCACACGCTCGACGTGCTGGTCGAGAGGCTCGAAGTGGAACTGGGGGCGCGACGACAAAGTCAGGATCCTCTTGCGAGAGAAGTGCCGGTCGGCCGACGACGAGGAAGGGTAGCGCACGGAGATGATGCCGTCGCCGAACACGACGAGGTACAGGTTGACGGCGCCGACGCCGACACCTTCGACACCCTCCTTGCCGCCGACGCCCTCGACAATGTCGACCCGTCCTCGCCGTCCCGAGCTCGCGCCGGGCACGCCCATCGGCCGGTCCTTCTCGCCGCCGTCGGCGCCCGCCGTCGTGGCGTCGACCGTCGCCGTACTGCTCGAGGGCGAGGTCGTCGGCGAGGTGTAGCGAAAGTACGACTCGTCGAGGGCGCGAAAGACGACGAAGTAGTAGCCGAGGGTGGCGAACGACTCGATCTTCTCGCGCGTCTCTTGGTGCAGGATGTCCTCGATCGTGAGCGGGTGAAGAGGGAGGAACTGCGAGGGGGAGGGAGGCGAGTCAGGGATCGGGCTCGTCGAGCGAGGCAGAGAGGGCGTGACGAGGGCGCACCTTGCGCAGCTCCCTCATGTCGGCGACGCTCGGGCACATGACGTCGAGCCACCAGGCCGGCCCATGCTCCATGGCGCGGTTCTTGCCGAAGCGCTTCTCCTCGGCTCGCGCCGTGCGCTTCTCGCCTCGAAGCCGGCTGCGCGCGCCGAGAGCCGGCCCGCCTGCGACGCCTGGCGTGATGGCCGGCGTCGCCGCCTCGCTCGACGCTCCTCCAGCACGCGCAGATGCCGACGCCGTCGAGGTCCCGGTGCTCGCGCCGAGCGGGCCCTCCTCGTCCTCGAGCGCCGCCTCAGCCGCCGCTAGCGACGGCGAGGGAAAGTAGCTCGCCTCCTCCCTCGTCGGCGTCTCGAGCGCCGCACCGCCGACGCCTGCGCCCATGTCGCCCGCGAGGCCATCCTCCTGCTGCCGCTCGAGCCAGAAGGCCTGGAGCCGCTCGAGTGCGGGCCCGAGCGTCGACGCCGTCGTGAGGTCAAAGACGGGCGCCGTCGACGTGCCCTCCTGCAAGGGCATGGGCGTCGGCGTGGGTGCGTGTAGAGGTGTCGGGATGGCGGAAGGTGGCGGCGTGGCGCGAGCGCCGGAAAAGAGGTGGGCGGGGTAGGCGAGCGTCGGGCGGGCGAGGAGAGGGGTGAGGAGCGTAAAGTGGGGCGTCGGCGGGTCCCACTCCGAGTCGCTGTCCGAGTCGGACGACGAAGAGGAGGAGGACGAGCCCGAGGACGAGTTGCGCCAGAAGCGCCACCCGCCCCACGTTGATGCGCTCGAGCGGGACCGTGACGACGAGCCGGCCGTCGACGACCGCGACGAACCCGACGTCGTCTCGGACGAACTCGAGCTCGACGAGGATGACGAGCTGGACGACGAGGACGACGACGAGCTCGTGCCCGACGCGTTCGACCCTCGCCGCTTGCGCCGGCCGACCTTGCGCAGCGCGCGCCGCACCTTGTGCCGCGCCGAGCGGCCCGACTTGCCCGACCTGCCCGACCTGCTGGATCGCCCGCTCGTGACCGACTCGGCGCGACGGCCGTGGCGGTGCTTGCGCCGCCGATTGCGCTTCTGCTTGTTGGGCGCTGGCGTGTAGAGCGGGTGCGGCGTGCGGCGGCGCTCGCGGCCGCTTCCTCGACGCCCTAGCCGAGCGCCGGGCGTCAGGAGCTCGTCGCCGAGGTCGCCACCGAGCGGGCCGAACGCGGGCGAGTTGGGCCGCTCGCGGTGGATCGACGCGGCGTCGTCGTGCTCCTCGACGGGGCGGTGCAAGGGCGACGTCGCGTGCTGGAGGATGGGGCGCAACGGGATGGACGAGTGCGCCTGGGGCGAGTGGGACAGGTCGAAGTGGGTGCGGAGAGGAGGGGACGAGGGCGAGTGAGGCTGGTGGGCGAACGAGCGCCGGTCGGCGTCCGAGATGCCGCTCGTGCGGTGGCGGGGGGACGGGGCGGCACTCGCACGCCGCCGCATGAGGGTGGGGCTCGGGCACTCGAGGGCCGGGTCGGGGAGGAAGAGGTCGGGCAAGGGCATGTCGATAAAGTGAGGGCGAGGCGGACGAGCGGCGACGCCGGGCGACTGGGCGTCGAGGACGGCGAGCCCGGCCTGGCCCATGTCGCCCTCGAGGCTGTCGCGAATGTCCTGGTCCTCGGCGGCGTCGCGCGCATCGTCGCCTTGGCGGGACGAGCGGTCGTCTGCGCCCAACCGGGTGCGGCTGTCGCGCGAGCGCATGCGGTCCAACGCTCCGAGCTCGGCGCCGTCCATGGCTTATGCCATTCGCCGGGACGAGTGAACGCGGCGCAGAGCTGCCCACGATGGGCTGGTGGTCGAGGTCTGCGGGAAGGCCGGGGAGAGGGGGGACGGGTGAGCTGATTTGGCCCGAACGGCGCCGCGAAGGCGCGCGGCGGGCGGGGGAAGGCTGCCCCGTGTGCACTTGGCCCACGAAGGGAGGTCTGGGTAGAGAGCGTGTACTCACAAGGGCCGAGTCGCCGCCGCCGGGATGTTGCGAGATGAGGGCGACCGAAGGCGGTGCGGTCGGTTGGCCGGGTGGTGCGCTCGGGCAGGTGTGCTGGAGAGCACAGCAGCGGTGCAGGGGTCGACGCAGCCAATGCGGACGAGGCTCGACGACGACGAGAGCCGGGGCGGAACCAACGACCGCTCTGCTGCACGTTCCTGGCTGGTCCTTGCTCTCGCGGCCGCTGCTTGCGGCTTGACGAGCTCGCGCAGGGGTACACGGGTGTGCGCAGTACCACGCGACTCGCTCTCGGTGCGCTCTCGAGCCAGCAAGTGACGCTCGCCCTCGCCCGACCTGAAATAGCTCTCGCTCGCAGTCGCTCGACCAGCTGCGTAATGATACAGGCGCACGGCTACAGCGCCACCCTCAGAACGGCAACGACGCCTTGCTCTTGTTCTTGGCGTCGGCCTGCGCCTGCGACACGAGGGAGAGAGGACAGGGTCAGGCGCGAGGGACGGAGGAGAGGGCGAGAGCGAGAGCAGAGGGACGCACCTTGCGCCACGCCGCGGTCTTTGCGTCTGCACCCTCGAGGAGCTTGGCGAGGTGGGCCACGCGCGCCTCCTTCTTGCGCTCCCACAGCTTGCCCTTGAACGCGGCGCCCTTGCGGCCGGCGTACGGCCCAAACTTGTCGAGCGCGAGCGCGTCGAGCACCTTGGTCGCCGGGACGTGCGGCGACGACTGAAGCCTCCTGCGTGCCGGGTCTAGCCGGGCGGCCGGGGTCTGGTCGGGCGAGGGCGAGGTCGAGGTCGAGGCGACGGGGGACGACTTGGCGAGCGGGGAGGGAGGGAGGACGTCGGCGGCGAGGCCGAGCGCGTCTGCCTCGCGGCGGAGCTTCTTCTGGCGGCGCAGCGAGTACCGTGGTGCGGTCCAGGACCTCGCCTCGGGCGACGCCTTGGTGGGAGCGAACGGGTTGCTCGCGCCGGCAAACGCGGTCGGCTCGGCGCCGGGCGTCGTCGGGAGCGAGGCGGGCGACTCGCGGGCGAGGAACGAGTAGAGCGGGAAGCGCCGTGCTGCGCTCTTGGCACTCATCGCGCGAGAGGCCATGGTCGGGTGGAGCTGAGCAGGCGATGAGATGGTCGAGCGAGGCTAGCACATCTCCCTCCCGCCTCTGCTCTTCCGGTAGAGCTGCGGAGCCTCTCGTGTGCTCACAGAGTCTCTCTCGCCAGGCTCGAGGCGCGAACGAGCCTCTGCGCACCACGCCCGCCTCGTCCTCCTCCTCGCCCTCTTTCTTCATCACCTCGACATGCTCCTCGCTTTCCCTCGCTCAGGAGGCCAAATCCGACTCGCGCAAGATGTCGAGAATAGTGCTCAATGCTTCGATGCTACAGTGTCACCTCCCACTCTCCCTCGCCCACTCCTCCACTCGGCGAACGAGCTCTCCCCGCGGCGGATCTGGCCGACTCGGTGCCGCTCCCGCACCACTCGCTCCGCTCCTGAGCACGCTCGTGCTCATCGCTCGCCTCAGCTTCGCGCTCGGTGCGCTCCTGCTGCGCGATGCCGCCGCCTCCTCCTCGACCCGGACCGGCGCCGGCTGCGCGACGACCGTTGCCGTCGCCGGCCGTCGCTGCCCCGACCTTTCCCTCGCACGGCGCACCTCCTGCTGCGCCGCGGCGGGTAGCGCGGGTACGGGCGGGACGTTCTCGCTCGCTCGCGCCGATGCGCCGGAGCGGCGACTCGCTCGAGGCGTCGTCGGCGAGAGGGGCTCGGGCTCGGGCTCGAGCGCGAGCGCGGCGTGGTCGACTGCTGCGCCGGCGACCGACGAGACGAGGCTCGGCTGCGTCGCTGCGGTGCGGATGGGCGAGAGGGGGAGGGCGGAGCCGAGGGGAGCTGGCGAGGTGGAAGAAGAGGTCGGCGCGGCGGGCAGGGGAGGGATGTCGAGTCTGCTCGGCCGGAACGCGTTGCGCAGGCTCGCTGTCGACTTGCGCAGCTTGAGCAGCCCGCTGCGGATCGTGCCCGTCTTGCTCCCGCTCGCGCTCGCGCTCGAGCCCGCTGTCGCCGTCGCGCTTCCTGCGCCCGAGTCGGTCTCGCTCGCCGAGGCGGCCAACGTCGAGGTCGACTCGGTGCGCGGCTTGGGCTTCGACTTGGACCGTGCGCGGCCCTGGGACCGGCCGCGGCTGTGCCGCTGGCAGGAGGAAGGGGTGCGAGGGAGCGCCTCGGTCGAGGACGAGGCGGTCGAAGCGAGGTCGAGCGGGGCGGTGGCGAACACGGGTGCTGGGGAGGGCGGCAGCCAGGCGGGTGGCGAGAAGGAGGGATACGGGGACGGGGCAGGAGGAGGAGGACGGACGAACGGCGAGGGGAAGCTGCTCTCGACGGCGGCGTCGGCCGTCGACGGTCGGCGCGACGCACGGCTCGCGACGACGACGGGCTCGACGGGCTCGCCGCCATAGCGCCCTCGAGTCGTGACGGACGCCTTGCGCTTGAGCACCTTGGGCGGCGCAGCGTGCACGACCGTCGTCGAGACCGAGCGGAGCGGGCGCGGTGGCGGCGGCGCTCGGCGCAGCTCGCGGTCGACGGCGGTGTCGGCGTCCTCGTCGGACAGCGCGACGAGGTTCGAGAAGGGGGCCGCTGTCGCCGAGGCGAACGACGACTGCTTGCGCGGCCGAGCCGGGAGCGAGGTCGAGACGAGGAGGAGGCGGCTCTGCTCGGCGCTCGGCGTCGCCGTCACGGCGCCTGTCGACGAGCGACGTCTGTCGAGTCGAGGGCGGATCGGGATGGCGCGTGCTGGCGAGGGCTCGGCCGGAGCTGCGAGGCTTGCGGCGTCGCTCGTCTCGGCGGTCGCGGTCGAGAGGCGGGTGTCGGTGCGCGAGAGGGACAGGCGGGACGTCGACGATGCCGCCGTCGAGATCTGGCGAGATCTGGCGAGCCCTGCGAGTGCGGGTCGGAGAGGTGAGCTTGTCGTGCCGGCGAGTTTCGAGCGAAAGACGGTCGTGGACGCACCGATGCGATCTGCCCCACCCTCGTGCTCGCTCGGCATGCCCGTTACTGGGCTGGCCTCGTCGAGAGCTTCTCCCTCGCTGAAGCTTCGCCTGCCCTGGCGCAGGCTGGTCTTGCGCCCGACCGACGACGGCCCGAGCGTTCCCTCCGAGCGCTCCCGCCCTGGCCGCAAGGGGACGATGACGGTCGGGCGGTTGGCGGTAGTCGTCGCGAGCTCGTGCGAAGGCGGTACGGGTCTGCGGTGGGCGGTAGGGTGGAAGTGGGCGCGGTCGAGCGAGTCGGAGCGATTCGAGGCAGGCATGGCCCGCAAGGTGGACGTCGCTGCTCGAGGTGGTGGACAAGGATCGCCAGGCGAGCCGACGCTGTTCGAAGCGTTCGGTCGAAGCGATCCTCGGCTCGGGTAGAGCGGAGCGTCCGTCGGCGACGGCTGCACCGGAGAGGCGAGCGGCGTCCAGAGTTCGGGGCAGACGGGCGTCGGTCGCGCGCTGCGTGGGCCGCTTGGCGAGACGAGCACGTTCTTCGAGAGCAGAGCAGAGCAAAGAAGGAGCGCAAGGGAGCTTGCACGGCCCGAGGAGAGGCGAGCGGGAAAGACGCCGAAGTCGGACAAGGGGTAGCGAGCGGCCCTGTCGCGCGGCTGAGGTGTGTGCGCAGAGTCGGGCTGCAGCTGCCGAGCTCAGCGTCGACGCAGGCTCGAGCGCGATCGAGATCCCGGGGCACAGGAAAGGAGGTACGAGCGCCTTGACGCATTCGCTCCTTGTTGCCGGATCTGTTTGCTAATCTCGGCCGCCTACACAAGCACAGCCCGGTTAGCTCAGTCGGCAGAGCACCAGACTCTTAATCTGGTGGTCGTGGGTTCGAGCCCCACATTGGGCGAGCTTCTTTTTGGCCTTCTCAACTCGCTTTCGTCGTATCGAGGCGGCCTCTTTCTTTTGCTCACGTATGCCCGAGGTAGAAGAGCTTTCGCTACCGCAGAAGGTGGTTCGAGAACGAGCCTGCGACGACGAGCCGTTGAGCGTCTCGTCCGCGACCTTGTCCTTCTCCGCGCATCGTCGCGACGCTCCCCTTTGTCTGGTGCAGCTCGAGATCTGCGCAGTGCCTGAAGCCTCCGTTGCATGCACTCGAGCAGCGTTCCAAGAGCGACGGTCGCGCGCATGCAGGCAAGCAAGCGTGAGAAGGCCGAACTCTTCGACTCCCGGCGGCTCGCACGGAGCCTCTCTCGCTGCTCTCGCGCTCGCACGCCGTGGTCGACCCTGTCGCACTGCTGCAGATCTCGCCGAAAAGCGAAAGCTTTTGGGAGGGAGGGCGAGAGAGGAAAAGGGCGTCGGTGACGCAGCGGAGCGCTCGGAGCGCGGAGGCTCCGCGTCGGCCGGGTGCTTGCCTCGAAGAGGAGGAGCGCCGAGGCAAACGCGGCGCACTCTCGAGAGAGCAGCAGGCAGCCAGCTGCCAAGCCTGCGCGCTCGAACACGGCCGCCTCCCTCCGCCAAGGTGTTTGTCGCCGCACCTTCTCCTCCTCGACAGCCGCCACCACCAGCTGCTGCGCCGCACGCACCACCACCCCAGAGTCGTTCCCCCCGCACAATCTCGAGTTCGACCGCTCCCCTCGGTCGGCCTCCCCCAGCTCCCCCTCTCTCGACGGCCAACCCTCGTCGACCTCGACTGCGCAGCATCGCAGCACCCTCTCGCCTGTTCCAGAGCCACTCAGCCGTCGTCCAGACCTGCACCAGACGACGGTAAACCCAGCAGCCATGGCCAGGTGCGTCCGCCGTCCTCCCCTCCGAGTCTGAGACGGCCCCTGCTCCGCCGCTCGTCATGCCGAGGGCAAAGCTGACCTTTGTGCCGTGCGCCCAGCAGGTCCAACCCGTTCGACCAGCCGTACTCGCCCAATGGCGGCCCGCAACCGTCTGCCCCTGGAGCCGCCGCCGCCGCCGCCCTCGCCCAGTCGTCGTCGTCGTCCTCGGCGCCAGCACCGCCTCCGATCGTCGTCCAGGACGACTCGCCGTCGCAGCCCGGGTCCCGCCGTACCGACAGCCCGGCGCGTCACTCGAACCACTCGCACGAGCACTCGGACGACACGCTCGGCGGCCAGACGATGCTCAACACGAGCCAGGGCACCACCCGTTCAACCGCGAGCGGCCACCCTCGCCGCGTCCAGTTCCCCGCCGAGCTCCCCGGCTCGAGGGGCGAGACGCACGTCGCCATCGACATGGCCGACAACCCGTCCGGCGCCGGCCTCCACCGCACCCCGTCGCGCAACCTCGCCTCGCCCGGCGCGTCCGCCGAGCTCGCGCGCGCCCTCGAGGCCGCCGCCGAGAACACGACCGACGACGAGGACGACTACGAGCGCGACTCGCGCTACCCGGCTTCGGGCTCGGGCCCGGCGTCGCGCGCGGCGAGCTCTGACGGCGACCCGAACGAGCGCCTCGAGGCCATGAAGGACAACATGGAGGTCTTCGTCGACCCGGGCGAGCGCGATGGCCTGCCCTCGCTCAGCCGCCGCAAGCCCGAGGAGGCCAACGCCAAGGCGGCGTGGAACCTCGTGCGCGGCCTCACGCTCAAGAACCAGCAGAGCAGCCTGCGCCGCCGCAAGGCGGCCGGCGCCGACGCGGCGGGGCCCGCCGGCTTCTCGAGCGGCACCGGCGCTAACGCGGCCGACAACGAGAAGCCCGACGACGCGAGCATCCGCAGCGACTCGCGCGTCGGCGGCTTCATCGACCGCATCAAGGAGGGCAACCTGCAGGACATCCCGCCGCAGGCCCAGTTCTCGTCGTCCGGCATCGGCTCGGGCGGCATCCTGTCGGCCCTCATCGCGCTCCAGCAGCAGCAGCAGCACGGCGACTCGCCGTCGGCGTCGGGCTCGGCCACGCCCGCCTCGATGGGCCCTTCGTCGCGCGCCGGCTCGATTGTCGACGTCGACTCGGACGACGACGACGACGAGGGCGAGCGCCTCAAGTTCCTCGCCAAGCTGCACGAGAAGCGCGCGCAGAAGAACCGCCTGCACCACCTCGCCGAGGGCTTCGGCAGCGGCGCGCAGGGCGTCGCCGTCGGCATGAGCCGAGGCGCGCAGGGCGTCGCGACGGGCGTCGGCCGCGGTGCGCAGGGCGTCGGGCGCGGTGCAGGCGCCGTCATCGGCACGGCCGGGCGAGGCGCCGGCGCCGTCATCGGCGGCGCGGGTCGAGCGGTCGGCGGCGTCGGGTCGGCGCTCGGCGTCAAGCCCGTCTCGAAGAGCAAGGCGGCGTCGGCCGACAACTCGCCGGCCAACGGCGAGACGGGCGACGTCAAGAAGCGCGACAAGAAGGGCCTGTTCGTCCGCACCGACGACTCGGCCAAGCCGCACAACAGCGTCTTTAGCGGCCTCGTCGCCGGCTCGGTGCGTCCCGCTGCCTCTCTCTTCCTCTCCCTCTCCCTCTTCCTCACCTGACGTTCACTGACTCGGCCTCCCTCACGCAGCAAAACCTCGCCGGCATCGCGACGCCGGGCGGCACGCCCCTGCCGGCCATGTCGCGCTACGAGTCGCACCCCGACTCGCGCAGCCGTGCGGGCAGTGCGGGCTCGTCGACGCAGGGCTCGCCCGTTATGGGCCGCTCGACGGTGACGACGCCGCCGCTCACGCCGGGCGAGAGCAAGCGCAACCCGTTCAACCTCAACCTCAAGGACCTCCCGACGCCGCACTTCCACAAGCCGGGCCACTCGCCGAGCGGGCACTCGCCGCGCAAGGAGATCGGCGAGTACTTTGTGCGCGAGACCGAGGAGGAGCAGGACCGCAAGGCGTGGGAGAAGGAGAAGCGCCGTCGCCGCAAGGCCAAGGCCAAGCGCAAGGAGCAGGAGCGCTTCATCACGCAGCACGTCGCCGCCATCCTCGAGCGCCAGCAGTTCATCATGAAGCTCGCGCGCGCGTTCATGATGTTCGGCGCCCCGTCGCACCGCCTCGAGGCCCAGATGCAGGCCACGGCCCGCGTCCTCGAGATCAACTGCCAGGTCATCTACATCCCGGGCGTCATGCTCATCTCGTTCGGCGACTCGGCGACGCACACGTCCGACATCAAGGTGCGCCCGTCGTCCCTCGCCGTCCCTCTCTCGTCCTGTCGGCGACCGTGCCTGACCTTGCCTTCCCATTTTCCCCCTCGCGCAGTTCTTGAAGCAGGCCAACGGCCTCGACCTCGGCAAGCTCCTGTCGGCCTTCCTCGTCTACTTCAACGTCCTGCACGACCGCGTCTCGGTCACCGAGGCGTCGAGGGAGCTCGACGAGCTCATGATCGCCCCGCCCAAGTACAAGCTGTGGCAGCAGCTCATCATCGGCGCGTGCGCCGCCGCCTTCATCCAGCCGTCGGCGTTCTACGGCTCCTTCATCGACTGCCTCATGGCCATGCCGCTCGGCGCCCTCCTCGTCCTCGTCCAGGTCCTCGTCTCGCGCAACGACCTGTACTCGTCCCTCTTCGAGTGCGTCCCCTCTCGCTCCCTCCCCTTCCCTTTCCTCTTCTCGACCGAGTACTGACACTCGCGCTCCCTGACAGAATCGTCATTGCCTGCGTCATCGCCTTCTTGGCCGCCGCCCTCGCCTCGACCAAGTACTTTTGCTTCGCCGCCGTCGTCTCGGGCTCGATCGTCCTCATCCTGCCCGGCTACATCGTTCTCTGCGGGTCTCTCGAGCTCGCCAACCGGTCCATCATCTCGGGTGCGTCGCCTCTCCCCCTCGTTCGCCTTCTCCATGCGGCCCTGACTGACCTGACCTGGGCCTCCCTCTCCTCCCTCTCGGCCTTCTCGTATCGCAGGTTCTGTTCGCCTCGTCTACGCCATCCTGTACTCGCTCTTCCTCGGATTCGGCCTGTCGATCGGCGCCGAGATCTACCAGCGCATCACGGGCCTCGACATTGCCGGGTTCGGCGGCTCTCAGTCGTACACGTGCAGCTCGCTGCGCGGTCCCGGCACGCCGTGGTACATGGACACGATCCCGCAGTGGTGGTGTACGTCCCGACGCTCCTGCGCCCGACCCTTTCTCAAGGATGAGACTGACTCGCCCTCGCTTGGACCCGCAGACTTCCTCACGATCCCGATGTTCCTCCTCACGCTCGCCGTGCGCAACGGCCAGCCGCTCTTCCGCAAGGAGACCCCGGTCATGATCCTCGTTGGCTCTGCGGGTGCGTCCCTTGCTCCTTCCCCTCGTCGACGAGCCACCGAGAGCGTGAGCTCACCCTCTCCCTCCCTCTTCCTCGACCGACAGGCTTCGTGTCCAACTTCTTCTCGGGCAAGGCGTTCCCCAACCGTGCCGACATCTCGTCCGCCATCGGCTCGTTCGCCGTCGGCTTCCTCGGCAACCTGTACGGCAAGTTCACGCGCGGCTCGCCGTTCGTCGTCATGGTTCCTGGGTCCGTCTCTCTCTCTGCCTCTCCTCTCCTCCTCGCGCCGGTCTGATCAGCAAATTGACCCCGACCCCTCGCACACACAGTGTCCTCGTCCAGCTCCCGTCCGGCCTCAGCAACGGCGGCCTGCTCAAGTTCGCCGAGGACACGAGCGACACGAACGCGTTCACGTGCACGGCCGACGGCAACGGCGGCTACACGAACTGCGTCCAGTCCACGAGTGACTCGACGGTGTGGTCGAGCGGCTTCCAGACGGCCGAGAGCCTCGTCGAGGTCGCCATCGGCTTGACGGTCGGGTGCGTCCCTCTTCCCCTTCGATTCTCTCTCAAGCCGACACAGCTAACTCTCTCGTGTCGTCACCTACAGACTCTTTGTCTCTGCGGCACTCGTCAACCTCCTTGGCGGCGGCCGTCGTCGCGGCACCAACCTGTCGTCGTTCTAGGCGACCGGCACCTTGTCGACGCTCAGGCCGGTCCTTCAGCGACGCTCCCCCTCTTTCCTCCCTTCCTCGGCACCGCAATAGACCCTCGTCCCTCGATACACCGTACAGCCTCTCACTCGTCGTTCTGGTCGTCCTCGTCCCCCCTCGTCCTTCTCCCTCCCTCGTTCCTGTATCTTCCCCTCCTCTCCTCGCCGTGCGGCCCTACTCAAGAAGGGCTCGCCTCTTTCACTACACTCTTCGATCTCGTTTGCTGTCTAGAGCCCTCCCTTCTCCTTATAACGCCCCGTCACGACGCTTCCGTTCTCTCGTCGGCCTCGCATGTTCTCTCTCTCGCTCTCTTCCCCCACGGACCCTCTTTCTTTCCTGCAAAGCCAGCATCAGTGTCCCTATGTCGAGCCTGTGCGAGCCACGCGAGAGCACGCTAGCGGCTGAGAGCTTGACCTGCTCATCGTTCCGCCGACTTCCCCGCGCTCGCTCGCTCCTCGTCGTCCTCCTCGTCGCCTCTCTCGCACAGCATGTCCAAGATCCGCCACGAGTGGTGCGTCCGAGCGATCCTCTCTCTATCCCAGCCCCCCACTGACCCGCCTGTCGCGCCCGCGCAGGTACCAAACGGACCAGGAGGTGGTCGTGAGCGTCTTCATCCGCAACGTCAAGGAGGACGACCTCAAGGTCGACCTGCAGGAGCGCAGCGTGAGCCACAGAGCACGCTTGAGCGTCTCTCATGCGCCCCGCTGACTCTGTCGCACCCACAGCTGTCCCTCACCGTCTCGCTCCCCACCGGCTCCGACGTCGTGTTCGACCTCGACCCGCTCGCGCACCCGATCGACCCGAGCGCGAGCACGCACCGGGTCCTCCAGCCCAAGATCGAGCTCAAGCTCAAGAAGCAGGACGCGGCCAAGTGGGGCAAGCTCGAGGGGGACGAGCAAGTCGCCGCCAGCATGGGTCCGTCCTCTCTCGCCTCTCTGCTCGCCCGTGCCCTCTTGCAGGTGGTACAGGCGAGCTCGATCGCGGGCTTCAGAGCCGCTAACGAACCTTCCCTCCCCTGTTCCGCAGCGACGCCGGTCGAGAAGTCGACGCAGCACGCCTACCCGACCTCGTCGCGCAAGCAGCACAACTGGGACGCCATCGTCAAGCAGTCGGCCGACGAGGACGAGCAGCTGTCCAAGGAGTTCTCCAAGGACCCGAACGCCGGCGGCGACGCGGCGCTCAACCAGCTGTTCCAGAAGCTCTACGCCGACGCGACCGACGACCAGCGCCGCGCCATGATCAAGAGCTATCAGGAGAGCAACGGGACGGCGCTCAGCACCGACTGGACCGACGTCAGCAAGGTGCGCCCCCTCTCCCCCTCGTCACCTCGCGCTCTCGACCTCGTTCCCTCGCTGACCTCCCTTTCGGCCTCGCAGAGGAAGGTCGAGACGCTCCCGCCCGACTCGATGGTCGCCAAGAAGTTCGGCCAGTAGCGCGGTTCTGCCACTCGGACCCGCCTCCTCGTTTCCCCCCGCTCCTTTCCCACCTCGTTCCCCTCGCAGTCAGTTATCCCCCCTTTCGCTCGTCTCGCACCTCACGTCGTTCCTCGTGCCGCCGTCTCGAGCCTCGCAATGCATACCCGTCGTTCTCGTACTTCTCTCTCGTGCCTCGCCGCAGCCGACCGTAACAGGAGAGCGCGAGAAAGCGAACGCCGAGAGCGAGAAGAGGCTCGAGCGAGAAAGGGCTCGAGCGAGACGACGACGGAAAGGGAAGCATGCGGGGTCCTCGCCCGCTCTCTCTTTGCACGAGCCGCGCAGTCTAGTCTACGTCCAAGTCCCTCGCCGACGGCCCAAAGACCCGCCCTCACAACGCCGTCCACGCCTTCCACGCCCTCGTCCCCTTTGCGACCCTCGCGCGCTCGTGCACCCTCCCCTCGTCAAGCGCGCGCTCGACCGCGCCGCCGATCGACAGGTACACGTCGCACGCCGCCCGGATCCCGCCCCTCGCCTCGCGCGGCAGGCGCTCGATCGCCTCGCGGCTGTGGGCCGCCATGGTGCGCGCCCGACGCAGGAGCTCTCGCCGGTCGGGCGTCATGTCGTCGACGGGCGTGTCGAGCGCTCGCCCGGGGAGGTAGATGCGGTGGATGCCGAGGTCGGCGGGCACGTCGCGCGCAATGTTGACGAGCTGGAGGGCCTGGCCCATCTCGCGCGCGGCGGCGAGGATGGCGCGCTGCTCGGGCTCGGGGACCGACGAGGCGCAGTGCGCCCACACGAGCTGGACGCACAGGTCGGCGACCGACGACGCGACGTTGTTGGCGTACTCGAGCAGGTCGGCGTCCGTCTTGATCGGCAGCTCGGCAGGGATCGAGCTCGAGTCGGCGCCGCTCGCCTTGTCGCCCGCACAGGCGAGGAACGACAGGTCGGTGCGGAAGCCGGCGAGGAGCTCGTCGAGGGGAGGGCGCGTGATGGGCAGGAGGGCGAGGAGGCGGAACGAGCCGCGCTCGGGCTCGCTCAGGCCGGGCAGGGCGGCGGCGATGGCCTCGTTCGAGACGCGGACCGGGCGCGAGGACGACGTCGATGTCGCAGGAGGATACAGGAGGTCGAGGCACGCCTTGATCATGTCGATGTTGGCCTCGGCGGCGGCGACCGACGACGCGTTGTCGACGAGGTCGTCGCACACGCGGCACCAGGCGTATCTGCGAGAGGCGGGTCAATGACAGTCCCTCTACGAGAGAGAGAGGAAGCGAGAGACGCACAGGGAGAGAAGGTCGAGGCGCAGCCGACCGTCAAAGACCATGCTCGCCGTCGAAAAGCTCTTCGAGTGGACCGACAGGATGTCGATGGCGGCGCGCAGGTCGTCGATGCGCTGGCCCTGCTTGGCGTCGGGCGAGTTGACGAGGATCGGGCCGAACTCGCTGAGCGGCGGAAAGACGGACGAGGTGCCCTTGTCGTACGAGCGCAGGTCGTGGACGGCGAGGCAGTGGTCGCTGCGGGTGCAGGAAGGTCAGTGACACTTCTCTCGGGCCGAGGGTGCGGCGCACGCACCAGGCGGCCATGCCAAACACGATCATGACGTTGGTCAAGAGGAAGAAGACGGCCTCTCTGCGAGCGCGGGCGGGAAAGTGAGCGAGTTTAACGAGGAGAGGGCGAAAGGCGAGGACGCACTCGATCTCGAGCCCGCGAAAGTCCCACCCGAGCTTTGTCCCCTGCTCGATGACCCAGGTCCCACGCTGCAGAGCGCGCGCATCGAGCTCCCACAGGAAGAAGGTCGGGGCGAAGATGGCGAGGAGGAGGGTCGCTCGGGGCATGGCGCAGATGTGGTCGGACGCGACCCACCTGCAGGAGCGAGCGAGAGTTAGTTCGGCGCCTCGAGATCAAGGGAAGAGACGTGGGGACGCACCAGAGCAAGGTGAGGAACGGCGCGACCCAACCGACGATCAAGGCCAGGTAAGTGCCCTCGCCGCCCTCCTCGAGTTTGGCCCACGACAGGGCAAAGACGCCGCACAGGAGCGCGGTGCCGGTCCACTTGAAGACTCGGCCGTCGCTCGGGTTGCGCGGAAGGAGCGTCGCATGGACGATGGGCCGCGTGAGGACGGCGTACAGGGTCGAGGTGAGGTAGGTCTGGACGAAGAAGAAGAAGACCTCCTCGTACGGGATGGCGAACAGGGTTGGGCCGACGACGGACGAGTCGGGGTAGGACCAGATCTGTTGCGGGGCAGGGCCAGAGCGGCAAGTCAGCTCTCGTCGCGGCTCAGGAGGTTGGACGAGGAGGAGGACGAGGGGACGCACGCGGTTGCGGATGAGGTACGAGTCCCAGGGTATCGTCGCCTGCAGGAGCAAGACAGTCAGTTCTGTGCACGAGTGCGCGCAGTCCCGTATCGGCAGAGGGGCGTACCGTGACAGCGATCTGCTCGAGGAGAGGGAGGAGGGGGAGCACAAGGTCAGGGTTGGCCAACTCGACGAGACGAGAGCTCGGGACGCACCGTGATGAGGAACAGGGTCTTGTACACGTCCCTCCAGGTCCTCAGCTTGCGGAACACGAGCCAGAGCGCGACAGAGGGAGGGATCGTCCAACGCGCATGCCTGGGGGACGCCGACGGGTGGTGAGCCGAGGCTCGGCTGCGCGGTGGAGAGAGAGAGGGGAAGAGGGACGCACACGAGCCAGTAGTCGTAGCCGCCCATGAGCCGCAGACGAACAGAGAAGGCACAGACGAGAGAGGTACCGAGACGACGACGGCGAGACGGCGAGATGAGCGAGGTTGCGGACGGCCTTGCTGGCTCGTCGAGGCCAAGCTGGGGAGCGCGGAAGCCGCGGAGCAGAATCGCCAGAGCCGGGCAGCTCGGCCTTGCGGTCGGTGCGCGGGGGAGGGAGAATACAAAGCGCGCTTACGACCAAGTCAAGCAGCCTCGTAAGGTTTGAATCTCGACTGGTAGTTTGAGCCGAATTGGCGACCGAGTCCGAGTTGCAGATCGGAGACACCAACTTTGGCCGTGCATCATCATCATCCTCGCGCACTCGCTTCGGCCTCCCCTCGCTGCGCAGGCCTCTCTGCCTCGTCGCTCTTCTCACTGCTACCAACGCACGCACTCGCTGCACTGCGCACCGTCGTCGCAACCCGCCGCGCACCGACCTCTCAACGCGTCACGCTCAACGAGGCGGGAACTCGTCCTCCACCACCCACCACGCGCCACTCGGCCTCGGCCAGGAGCACCTCTACCGCACCATGGGCGCACGCCCACACCCGTTCCGCGAGGGCAACTATGCCCCGGTCCGCGACGAGCGCCAACTCGAGCCTTGCACTTGCGAGGGCGAGCTCCCTCTCGAGCTCGCAGGCGGGTGCGTCCATCTCGTCCCCTTTGCCCTCTCTCCCTCTGCACCTGTAGCTGACGACTCGCCTCGACAGCATGTACGTCCGCAACGGCGGCGAGCCTGCCCTTGCCGAATCGATGCGGGACGACGCTGCGCCGGCGTACCACTGGGTCCGTCTCCCTCTCCCTCTCTTTCAGGCGCTCCCTCGGTCCCAACTGCGGCAGGACCTGACTCTCGTACACACACAGTTTGACGGCGACGGCATGCTCACGGGTGTCTACTTCCAGGAGGCGAGAACGGCGACCGGTCGACGGCACCTCGTCCCGACCTTCGTCAATCGCTACGTCCTCACCGACGTCTACCTCGCCTCGCACGCCCTCGGCCTCAAGACGCCCATCCTCCCGTCCATAGCGACGCTCGTCGGCTCGATCTGGACCCTCCCCCTCATCCTCCTGGCCATCTTTCGAGCCGTCTTCCTCGCCTTCCTGTCCTTCTTCACCCACTCGCCCCTGCGCCACCTCTCGGTCGCCAACACGTCGATCCTGTGGCACGACGGTCGGGCCCTCGCGTCGTGCGAGAGCGGGCCTTTGACCTGGGTCACGCTGCCGGCGCTCGACACGGTCGGGTACTGGAGCCTCGAGGGGGACGACGGCGAGCCGGGACTCAGGGAGGGCATGATCGGCTGGATGAAGGAATGGACAACCGCGCACGTGCGTCCACCCTCTCACTTGCCCCGGTCTCCCTTTGCGTCGACGGCCGACTGACGCTCGGCCCCCTCTTCCGCAGCCGAAACGCGACCCGACGACGGGCGAGCTCATGCTCTTCCACATGACGTTCCTCCCGCCGTACCTCCACTACTCGGTCATCCCGTCGACGCCCGCCGCGTCGGAAAAGGCCGAGCCGACGCCGCGCATCCTCGCCGCGCCCGTCCCGATCTCGTCGCCCAAGATGATGCACGACATGGCCGCCTCGCGCGAGCACTCGATCCTCCTCGACCTCCCCCTGTCGCTCAACCCGCTCAACCTCGCCGTCGGCAAGCCCATGATCCACTACGACCCGGCACAGCGCTCGCGCTTCGGCGTCCTCCCTCGTCACGCGCCCGACCTCGTCCGGTGGTTCGAGGCGCCGCCCTGCATCATCTTCCACACCGCGTTCGCCGCCGACGTGTACGACCCGCACGACTCGACTCGGGTGGACGCCGTCGAGCTCGTGTGCTGCCGCCTCAACTCGCCTCGGCTCGTCTACGCCGCCGGCAACCTCGACCTCCCTGTCGCGCAAGCGCTCCCCGCCGGCGCCAAGGAGGCGTGCGAGCTGTACTACTACAGCTTCTCGATGTCGTCGCCGACCGCCACCTCGCCCTCGCACGCCTTCCCGCTCTCCTCGATCCCCTTCGAGTTCCCGACCGTCCCACAAGCTCGCGTCGTCGGCCCGGCCAAGTACGTCTACGGCTGCTCGATCAAGCACGGCAACTTTGACGCCGCACTCGGCGGCGCCGCCAAGATCGACTGCCTCGTCAAGGTCAACGTCGACGCCCTCGTGCGGCGAGGGCACAAGCGCGCCGAGGCGGGCAAGGGCGACTCGGAGCGGCCCGTCGACGAGCGCACCGTGTCCGAGGTCCTCGCGCAGCAGACGTCGCGCACGTCCAACGACGACGACGTGCCCATCCGGATCCTCCAGATGCCGCCGCGCCACTACGCGCAGGAGTCGTCGTTCGTCCCGAGGGCGAACCCGAGGAGCGAGGACGACGGGTACCTCCTCACGTACGTCTTTGACGAGCACCAGCTCGACGAGGCGACAGGTCAGCCTCGCGACGGCGCGACGAGCGAGCTGTGGGTCGTCGACGCGTGGGACCTCGAGACGGTCGTCGCCAAGGTCAAGCTGCCGCAACGAGGTCCGTCCAGCTTTCCCTCTCTCTTTCCCTCTCTCCTCCCGCTCTCGCCCAGGTCCTGACTCTCCTTGCCCCTTGCACACAGTACCGTACGGCCTGCACGGCAACTGGTTCACGGCCGACGAGATTCGCGAGCAGCGCGACGTCGCCAGCGTGCGCAGCCGACCTTAGACGCCGGTTATTCTTCCCCTCTCTCTCTCCCCTGTTGTTCTGTCTGTTGTAGAAGCACGCCAAGTCATCTTCAGCATCACCTGCTCGAGCGAGAGGGAGCCGAGAAGGAGAGTCGCGCGAGCCTGCCTCGAGAGCACGAGCAGTCGAGCTGCTCTCGCATGAGGAGGAAGCAGGCCAGTACGACACAGCCGTCGGCGTGACTGCAAGACTCGAGCGTCGCTGTCGAGACGAGCGAGGCGATAGAGCGCAGGAGCGGGGCAAGATGCGCGTGCCGAAGACGCGGTGGCCAGCCTCGCTCGAACGAGCGCGTCGCAAGCCCATCGGGCAGCACGCACGGAGCGCTAGCACACCAAAGAGCTTCCTACGCTCCCCTCGCAGAGCCACGGAGGCGGTGATGGCGCGCTGTCGAGGCGGACGAAGCGAACCTCGTCCGGACGAGCGGCAGCCCGCTCTCTCCACTACAGATCGGAGCTGCTGCGGGTGCTGTTGAACTCGCGCTGCACGCCTGCACGAGGGAAGGAGAGCGCAGGTGTACGAGGCGAGGTTGGCCACCTCGACGCCGCAGAGGAGGAGGTTGTCGTCGCTCGAGCCTGCCGCCGCTTCTACCTCGACCACACGCCTCTTAAAGGCGACGATTCGATGCCGAGCGTCAGTCGAGCTCGTCTTGTGAAATCAGCGACGCTCTGGCCACCCCGCATCCGATCCGGGTCGCCGATCGCTGGCCGTCTGCTCGCCTCGGAGCGGTGGCCGCGTGCGCGCTCTGGTGGCTCTTGCTCCCTCGCTCTCTCGCTCTCTTGCTCGACACCCAGCACTCGCCATGGCTCCTCGTCCGTCCGTGATCATCGTCGGTGCAGGCGTCGGCGGTACCAGCTCGGCAGCAAGGCTCGCCCAGGCCGGGTTCGACGTCCAAGGTGCGCCCCCAGTTTCGCCCAACCTCGAGCTCCTCTCCTCGCCCGCACGCGTACTGACGAGCCCACTGTCCCCTGCTCTACACCCCTTGTCCACGCCCTTCCTCCCTCGCTGCAGTCGTCGAGAAGAACGACTTTGCCGGCGGCCGATGCTCCCTCTTCACCGATCCCACCGGCGAGCACCGTTTCGACATGGGCCCGTCGCTCTACCTCATCCCGCGCCTGTTCGAGGAGACCTTCTCCGACCTCGGTACCAGCCTCGACGCTGAGGGCATCAAGCTCGTCAAGTGCGAGCCCAACTACCGCATCGTGTTCCCGGACAAGGAGGTCGTCGAGATGAGCAGCGACCTCACCAAGATGAAGAAGGAGGTCGAGAAGTGGGAAGGCGAGAAGGGCTTCGAGGGGTGCGTCCCACTCTCTCCCCCTCTCGAGATCGGCGGCGGCAGCGCGAGCGAGAGCGGCGACGGCGAGGGACACTCGCTCGCTCCGCCGCGCTCTTTCCGTCGTTCTCGCGCCGGGACTGACACTCGCACCTGCGCACACAGCTTCCTCGGCTTCCTCAAGGAGGGCCACGCTCACTACGAGCTGTCGATGGTCCACGTCCTGCACCGCAACTTCACCTCGTACCTGTCGCTCCTCCGCCCGTCCTTGATCGTCAACCTCAGCAAGCTTCATCCCTTCGTGTCTGTCGTGCGTCACACCTCGTTCGCTAATACCCGAGGCGGTCCGTCTACAGAGTTGCTAATGTCGGTCACGTCGACCCAGTACACGCGCGCGACCAAGTACTTCAAGACGGAGCGCATGCGCCGCGCCTTTACCTTTGCCGCCATGTACCTCGTGCGTCTCCCTCTCTCTCCCTCCCTCTCGCGAGGGCGTGCCCGGCGGGATCGGCAAGCGGCGGTCGCGGCGCTCGAGCCGGTTGCTCACCTCTCTTCCCTCCCTCCATCTCTCTCTGCCCCTTCTCGCGTACAGGGCATGTCGCCGTTCGACGCTCTCGGCGCCTACAACCTCCTGCAGTACACCGAGCACTGCGAGGGCATCCTGTACCCGCTCGGCGGCTTCGGCACGGTCCCGAAGGCGCTGCAGCGCATCGCCGAGCGCAACGGCGCCAAGTTCCGGTTCAACTCGACCGTCAAGCGCGTCGTCGTCCAGGACGGCAAGGCCAAGGGCGTCGAGCTGGAGGGCGGCGAGATTCTGTCGGCCGACATCGTCCTCGTAAACGCCGACCTCGTGTGGTCGATGGCGCACCTGTACCAGGAGACGGCCTACTCGAAGCGCCTCGAGGAGAAGCCTGTCTCGTGCTCGTCCATCTCGTTCTACTGGGCCATGAAGCGGTCCGTCCATCGTCCCTCTGCCTCTCTCTCGGGTTCTCCTCGACCGGCGCACTGACCTCTTCTCTCTTCCCCTCGAGCAGCAAGGTCCCCGAGCTCGGCTCGCACACGATCTTCCTCGCCGACGAGTACAAGGAGTGCGTCCCTCGTCTCTCGAGCGTGCCCCGAGCGAGTTCTGACCCTGGTTCCACCGCACCTGCAGGTCGTTCGACTCGATTTTCCGCGACCACAAGATCCCGCACGAGCCGTCCTTCTACGTCAACGTCCCGAGCCGTCACGACCCTTCGTGCGTCTCTCTTTCTCTCTGCTCGTCGATCTCGTGCATCCGAGCGGGCAACACTGACTCTGTTTGCTCGCCTTGCAGTGCCGCTCCCGCCGACAAGGACACGGTCATCGTCCTCGTCCCGGTCGGCCACATCTCCAAGGCGCTCCCGACGTCGTCCGACTGGGACAAGGTCGTCGAGGAGACGCGCAACAAGGTCATCCGCGAGGTCGAGGGCCGCCTCGGCATGACCAACTTCCGCGACCTCATCGCGCACGAGACGGTCAACACGCCCATCACCTGGGGCGAGAAGTTCAACCTGCACCGCGGCAGCATCCTCGGCCTGTCGCACGACTTCTTCAACGTCCTCAGCTTCCGCCCCAAGACGCGCCACCCGACCGTCAAGAACGCCTACTTTGTCGGCGCGTCGGCGCACCCGGGCACGGGCGTGCCCATCGTCCTCGCCGGCGCCCGCATGGCGACGACCCAGATCATCGACGACCTCGGCAAGCAGACGCCCAAGGAGTGGAACGTGTCGAGCAGCGAGCTCGCGACGCACCGCACGGGCCGCGACGCCATGGGCGGCATCGGCCTCTTGATGGCGCTCGCCGCCCTCTTCCTCGCCATCGCCGTCTACCTGAGGCAGTGAGCGTCGGTCGGTCGGTCGTCGTTGCCTGAGGGCGGCGGCGAGAGTGTGTCGAGGCGGTCGGGTCGAGGCGGGCGTGCTTTTTCTTCTTTCCCCTCCCGAGGGTCGTCGTGCCTGTTGTCCTCTAGAGTAGCTCCCCCAAGCGCGAAATCCTAGCCGTACATAGACAGTCTCTCACGGCGACGTTTCCTGAGAAGCGCTCGCGAGAGGAACTCGAGGAAGAAGCGTGTCGGCAGAAGAGAGGCTCGAGCGGGTCTTCAATCGTCGGCGGCCGCGTCCTTCAGTCGCGGCGATGCCTTGTTCTCCATACACACTCGCTCGTGGCAGAGAGAGAGACCTGCAGCAGCGAGAGAGCGACGAAAGCTTCGCCGGCACTGGCGCGGTCGAGCTGAAACGGTACCTCATTCCGGCTGGGCGCACAGTGTTTGAAAAATTCTTCTAGCACTCGCATCCAATCTTCGATAGTATAGTGGCTAGTATATTGCCTTGTCAATCCATTAGTGGATCAACGCGGCAGAGACCCGGGTTCAATTCCCGGTCGAAGAGTTTTTTTCTCCGCCATTCTGGACGCTACAGCGTTCTCTGGGCCCTCCTTTTTGCTTCCACGCAGTCCCAGTACCTGCCTAACAACGACGAGCCGCTCGGCGAGCTGCGCGGGACCCGCTCGACCTCCTCGAGGTGGCCTTCTCAAGGGAAAGCTGCCCTCTCGGTCCTCATGCCGTGCCGGGCACGCTCTCGCTCTCTCTCTCCAAGCTCGAGATCACGAGAGTCATGGACAGTCGGCGAGAAGTCTATCGATTGCGAACCTGGCCGCGCTCACCCGCTGTACAAGAACCACCGGCTCCTCGCGTCGACCGCCGCACGCCGCACGTCCCTCCTCGGGTCGTCGATCGCGCGTCCGAGCTCCTTGAGGACAGTGGCCTTCTGGCCGTGGAGCGAGAGGTACGGGATGTGGGCCGGGAGGACCGAGAGGAAGGCGAGAGACGAGAGGCGAAGGTGCTGTAGGTCGGGCGAGAACCGGGTCAGGACGTCGACGATGTGGCACAGGTCGAGAGAGAGGAGAGAAGCGAGAGAGAGAGATAGGACGCACAACTGCCGCACGCCCCTGCGCCGTCGCCGTCTCGCCGCTCAGGCCGCGCAGCACCTTGGCGACGATGCCGCTGATGGCGTTGTCGAGCTCGGCGGGCACCTCGGCGACGAGGGTCGAGAGGGCGTCGAGGACGTTGGCGCGCAGTGCGGCGTCGGGGAGGTCGAGGGAAGTGATGAGAAGGGGGACGAGCTGCGGCGAGAGAATGCGAGGTCAGGGCCGTCGACGACATGGAGAGCGAGAGATGGGGTTGACGCACCTTGGGGAGCTGCGTGAGGGCGAGCTGCTTGGGCAGGTGCTGCAGCAGGGACGAGAGCGCCGCGAGGTAGACCGTCTGCCCCGGACTGCTCGCCTCTTTGTACGACGCGACGAGTTTAGTAAGGAGGAACGTGAAGAAGCGCTGCTTGTACAAGAGCTGCGCCGTCGCCAAGAAGTCAGTCGATATCACGGAAGGCGGACATGGACAGGACGGGAAGAGAGCGAGGGCGCACCCTGATGACGGCAAAGTTGTCCTTGGCGAGCACGCCGTCCTTCTCCTCGGCGATGGCGCCCAGGCTCGCGGCCGCCGTCCTGCCGAGCGTCTCGTCGTGAAAGAGGGCGAGCACGCGCTCGACCATGGCGTACCCGCGAGCGTCGGACCGGACGATGAGGCCCTTGGCCACCTGCGGCGAGGAGGGGCACGAGCGTCAGGAGGGCGCGCACGGACCTCGCGAGACGCGAGAGGGCGAGAGGGGGACGCACCCAGATCCAGACTCGCAGCGCAGTACGGCGCGTGACGTCGGGCGACGAGGAAGGCGCGACGTGAGCGTCGAAGAAGGCCGGCAAGTCCTGCTCGATAAAGTCGGGGACATCTGTGGACGACGACGACCGAGGCGACGAGTCAGTATCACCCCTCGACAGGACAAAGGTGAAAGAACGAAGTTCGAGACGGACCTTGAGCGCGCTTGTTGACCGAGTTGGCGAGCAGGTGCAGGACGGCGACGAGCTGGATCTCGTTCTGGCACGCGAGGGACCGCTCGAGGCAGGATCGAAGGAACGCGACGAGGTCGGCGGTCGGGAGCGAGACGGTCGGGCGCATGGCGACGAGGCACGAGGTGAAGAGAGACAGGAGGTTCTGCTGCGAGGTCGAGCTTGACGACTGCGGAGGGAACGAGAGAGGTCGCCCTCGAGGTGAGCGGGCGGTCGCTCATGCTGGAGGAGAACGAGGGACGGACCGAGAAGGGCGCAAAGGGCACAGGGCCCGCCTCCTTGACCGCCGCAGCGCCGAGGAGCGCCTCGAGCTTGCCCCGATGGAACGCGTCGTTGACCGCCGCCGAGAAGGCCGACTGCCGCCTGCGGACAAAGGACATGTCGTCAATGTCGACGTCCGAGTTAGACAGTACGACGACTGGAAAGAGAGAGAGAGAGAGAGAGAGAGGGTGGACGCACTCAACGTCGACCCGCTGCAGCACGAGGTTGACGACCTTGCCCGCATCGACCAGGAGCCGCACGTCCTCTGCCACCGTCTTGCCCCTGCCCGCCTCCCTCTCGACCGTCGTCGGCAGCAGAAACATGCCCAACAGGCCGGGCACGAACCGCTCGACGTACTTGGGCACGTCGGCGTCGCCCCGCCGGACCTTGTCGGCGAGGACGGCGCGCAGCGTCGTTAGGACGTGGTGCGCGTACAGCGCCGCCGCCGGGCCCTCGTCGCCGTCTGCAGGGAGCGCGACGAGCGCCTCGAGGCGCGCCGAGAGGCGCACAGCGACGAGCTCGAACAGGGCTGGGTGGCACACGGCGAGGGCGGCGAGGGCCTCGAGTGCGCGACGGTACGCGTCGCGGTCGGCCTCGGCGCGCGACGGCGACGGGGACGACGAGCCGGGCGCGCCGGCGGGCAGGGCGGCGAACAGGCCCGGGAGGACGAGGCGCTCGACGAGGGACGGGTGCGAGGCGGCGACGAGGACGAGCGCGTCGAGCGCGGCGTCGCAGTACTCGTCGCCGTCGAGCGGCGTCGCGAGCACGTCGTTCATGGCGCTGACGCAGTACTCGAGCTCGTCGGCCGACAGGAAGTGCGGCACGCGCAGGAGCGCCGACAAGGCCGACAGGGCCGCGAGGCGGCACGTGAGGGCGCGCGTCGCCGACGGGAGGAGCGACAGGAGGTCGTCGCGGAACGGCTCGAGAGGTGACGGGCTGCTGCCGCTCGTGTCGTGCGAGAGGAGCGACGGGGGAGGGAAGAGGATGGTCGGGAGGGTCGCGGCGGAGGGAGAGGGGGACGGCTCGGGCGGCGACAGCGACGAGAGGAGGGTGGCGAGGTGCGACAGGACGGAAGGGCGCAGCGTGATCTGGTCCTGGTCCTTGTACAGGGCGAGAAGCGGCGGGAGCGCCTGCGCGAGGACGTAGCGCGCGAGGCGAGCTGCGAGGTCGAAAGGGTTCAGGTCAGTTTGCTGCTCGAGACGCAGCGCAAACAGAGAGGGAGAGGCACGAGCGACGCACCTGAAGAAGCGACGAGTGCCGTAAGGATGCGCACGGCAGGCTTGGCGTTGTTCTTCTCCGGCTCGGCGAGCTCGTCGAGCGAGTTCTGCACCACCTTGACCGCGACGCCCTCGATCTTGTCCTCGGGCGCCGCCGTGGCCGACTCGACGACGAGCTCGCTCACGGGCTGCATCTCAGCGTCCTCGCCATCGGGCGCGACGAGCTGCGCAACGGCGGCGCCCGAGCCGTCGAGCGTCTCGTCCGGGTACAGTGTCGCGAACAGGGCGCGCATCGTGCCGAGCGCGAGGTCCTGCATGCTGTCGTCGCTCGCGTGGAACACCTGTCGAGACGAGCCGTGTCAGAGGGACCGAGGTCGTCGCGCTCGGCGAGAGAGAGCGCGGGGCGCACCTCGATGATAAGCGCCTCCGAGAACCGGCCGGCCCACTCGCCCGATGCCGCCGCGCCGTAGATCGGGAAGCACGCCGTCAGCGCCTGCATTGTTTGACGCTGTAGGAGAAGGGAGAGCGTCGGTGAGAGAGGGCCGGGAGGAAGAGGAAGAGGTCCGGGCGCACCTTGGCCTTTTCCGACGCAGCCTGCATCTTGTCGTAGAAGAGCGGGAGCGCGAGTCGCCCGAACAACGGCGTCGCCGACAAGCAGTCACTGTGAAAAGTCGAGGTGTCAGTGTCTAGTCTCGACAAGGGGATAGCGAGGGGACGCACCGAAGGGCGACGATGAGGTCGTCGCTCGAGATGCCGTACGGGTCGTCTGGCGGCGGCGTGAACGTGATCGGGAAGTAGCAGAAGGTGATGTCGAACAGGTCCTGGAGGGAGAGGGCAAGCTGTCAGTGCTGCCGCGAACGAGACGGAGAGAGCGGGACGCACCTCGACGTTCTTGGCGATGTCGAACTCAAGAAGGATGACCCTGACGATGCCAAAGCTGATCATGAGGTTCCTCGGGTCCTTCTCGCCCTCGACGAGGGCGCAGTAGCCGCTGATGAACTCGTTGCCGAGGCGGAGGAGGGCGGGCCGGCTGCGGCCCATGAGGGCGTCGACGAGGACGTAGACGCTGTGGCGGACGGCCTGCGGGTGCGCCTTGAGCGTGACGGACGCGAATACACTGTGGCGAGAAGTGGGTCAGTGTTGGGTGCGGGGACAGAGAAGGAGGAGAGGATGGCGACGCACCCTCGGGCGACCTCCATGCCCTCGCCGACGCCGAACGCGGCCGACGCCGTAAGGGACGTGAGGGCATCGGCGCACGCGACGAGCGAGTTCTTCTCTCCAAGCTTGTCGACGAAGAAGGTCGTGAGCGTCTTGGCTGCGAGGTGGAGAGAGTGCGAGTCAGTGCGTCGTCCGAGGTGTCGACAGGGGGAGATTGGACGCACTGATCTGGCGGTCGAGGGCTGCGCGGTCCAGGTCGACGAGCTTGATCACGACGGACGACAGGAGCGAGACGCCTGGGGGAGAGGAGAGGCAGGGTGAGCGGCGAGAGAGGGAGGGAGAGGGAGCCGAAGAGGGGGCGGACCTCTTGCGCGACGGGCATCGTCGTCCGAGGTGAGCGTGTCTGCGAGGGCCTTGACGAGCTCGATGAGGCGGTAATCGCGGTTGACGACGCCTGTTTGGAGCGAGTGCGGGTGAGTGAGCGGGATCGGGAGATGAGGGAGAGGGGGAGCTCACCATGAGCGAGCTTGAGCGGGATCGGGGAAGCGGCGAGGTCGACAGGGTCGAGGCGGGCGTAGTCGGTCACTGCACTGGCGAGCTTTGGCGGGTCTGCCATGGCCTGCACAGGTGGAGCGTCGAGATGACAACGACGACGAGGGGGACTTGAAGTTGCTCCTTCTCCCTCTCCTCTCTCTCTCTCAAGCCCCTTGCTCTAGCTCTGTTCACCTCTAGCACCCGCACACCATGTCCCGCA